CTCGGGCACCCTATCTACGCCGGCATACTTTGACTAAGCTCTATTACACACTTTCGAGAGTTACCAGTTCTAACACATATGCATACATATATATATATATATATATATATATATATATACATACATACATACATGGTCACACATGTGGGGTGTCATCATTTTTATTATTATATCCTCTCGTTTATCGAGAATATTACGAATTTATATTTAATCGATATGGTATACGAAGATTTATATTATTCGATTGGATTTATCACGATTATTAGTTAATTATTATTATCATTAAAATATATCCTCATTAGAATAATAATAATAAGAAGAAGAAGAAGAAGAAGAATAAGAATAAGAATAAAAATAATAACATAGGTAATCGAAAAAGTTCATTGAAAGAAAATCTAATGTGAAATCTAAATATTAGATAGCCAATAAATACTATACAACTATTATATAGGCAACGAAGTATATAAGTCCAAAGGATGGACTTCAAAGTGAAAGGCGAGGAAACTGACTTCCAATTAAATTGTATCTCCTTTAAAAGAACTGACCGGCTACTGCTCCTGCTACACATACACACACACACACACACACAAACGAACACATGCAAGTCTCTTCGTAACTCTTCCCTCTTGGCTTTCGTTTCATTTACAATATATATATATATATATATACATTATTAAAAAAAAAAAAAATTATAATGAATGATCCTTTAATATAGCGTAACTACGCTCCAATCATTATTTCGAATAATAATCCAAAAATAAACGTAGATACATGAGACAATAATATTTATTGATACACCCTATACATATATATATATATATATATATATATATATATATATACGTATATTTATATACCAATAGTATCTATATATCAGTAATCAAAATGAAATACATTTTACACTTATATGTTACAAGAGATATCAATTTAAACAAACAATTCTAAAGGATATTTATGTAAGAACGAAAGTCAATGTGATCGATAAACGAAAAAACAAAAAAAAACCAAAAAAAGAAAATAAAAAATAGAACAAAAAAAAAAAGAAAAACTAAAAGAAACCTCCTCGAGAAAAAAAGGCACGGTATAAAAAGAAAGAAAGAGAAGAGAATTGAAATGATCGAACGATCGGTAGAAGATAATATCAAATAAGGATAATTTTGTGGTATATATATATATATATATATAATGACAACGAATTTAGGCTCACGAGAAAATGGTTCCTCCTTTGGATACAGCTTGAAAATAATCGAGTAAACGACTCAACGTAGGGGCAATAATGAGTGTCCAGGATGATAGGAAAAAAAAAAAAGAAAAAAAGAGAAAACGAAAGAAAAAAAAGGGAAGAAAAAAGAGACGAAAAAAAACAAAAAAAAAAAAACAAAAACAAAAAAAGAAGGAAGAAAGAAAAAAAAAAGCGAAGGAAAAAAAGAACGGTTAAGTTCACGCGAAGAAACCGGCAGCTGTCACGGTCCATAACGTTTTATCACCATGCCGCGAAACATCTTCAAAGAATATAGCTGTAATAACTATAGAAATTGATTTCCTCGTGGGATTATTGGAAGGAACCAAGTAAGTAACCAACCAACCAACCAACCAACCAACTAACCAACCAACCAAGCAACCAACCAACCAACCAACCAACCAAGCAAGCAACCAACTAACCAAGCAACTAAGCAACCAAGCAACCAAGCAACCAAGCAAGCAAGAAAGTAAGAAAACAAGCAAGCAGGCGTAAATACAAGAAAAAAGAAAGAAAGAAAGAAAGAAAAAAGAGAGAGAGAGAGAGAGAAAGACAGAAAAGGAAGAGGAAGAAGAAGAAGAAGAAGAAGAAGAAGAAGATAGGAGTATATTTCTCTCATTTACTCTAATACGCAGAATGGAAGTCGCATAAATGCAGAAAACGGATGGTACCTGGTATTACCGGACCGGAAACTAAACTAAGACCGGCACAGTTAGATATTTATGTGTACCTTCCGCACCGCGGCCACCGTGGCCGTTTCTTCGGTTAATACGATGACAACCCGCGGAGAGATTCTTATCTTATCTCGATCTAGGATCGAGAGGCAAACGCGTGCCTCGAGTCTTTGCCAACTCGGAAATGTTACTAAGTACTGTCGTACTAAATGCGACGAGAAGAATAAAGGAGGGGAGGATTGGGGAGTGGAGTGTAGGGGAAGGGGCGAGGGGGTGGGGTGAGGTGGCGGGGGGGGGTTAACACTAATACGCTACAAACACTAAATGCATACCAACCAACGAAAGATTAGAAATTGGCTCCTGTTTCTTATTACGTAATTTCATATAAGTGGGAGGACGGGGGTGGCGGGTGGGGGGTTAGGGATAGGGACCTGGAAGAGGGGAAACTCGTTAATATGGTATTACATATAGTAAGTGATTAATAGAAATATGAGAAGAATCAAAGAAAAGAGAGAGAGAGAGAGAGAGAGAGAGAGAGAAAAGATAGAAGAAAAAAAAAAGAAATAGAAAAAAGTTATCATCTTCAATATACTCTTACATATATACGTATAAAATTGATAATATTTATCATATTAATTGTTTTACGTTAAAATTAACATATTTTTTTGAACATCGTAAGCTTTGAGAGATTTTTTTTTTATGACAGAAAGATACAACTATAAGAATAACTTGATGGGTGAATGGTGGTATCGGGGGAGGGGGCGGTAGAAAGAAAATGTATATCTCTTATGGTTAGCCGTATCGTACCGTAATCGTACCGTACCGTACCGTACCGTATCGCACTGTACTATACCGCACCGCGTCACGTCGCCGTGTGAAACAACGGGCATCTCTAACTTGTTCTCTCGCTAGCAGACGTTACTAAGGGGCACAACCGAGTTCACTCGGCTGACCCTATTAGGTGGCCATTAAATCGACACGGTATCTCCTCTCGTGTGTGCCATTGGGACAAATGCCAACCGTTTCCTGGAACATCTGCGTGAAAAGGATTTCTCTTTCCTGGTATAGATCATCCTAAGTATAAAGTAAGTAAGTAAGTAAGTAAGTAAGTAAGTAAGTTAGAGACGATGTACCACGGAACAGTAAAAGAACTTGATAGGTAGGTAGGTAGGTAGGTAGATAGGTAGGTAGGTAGGTAGATAGATAGGTAGTATAGGTAGGTAGGTGGTAATGTTGAAAAAAAATCTTTCATCTTGATTGTGAGAAGAGGCAGAAGAAGAAAAGAAGAAAAAATTGAAAAAATATAAAGAAAAAAGAGAGAGAGAGAGAGAGAGAGAAATAGGATAACAAAAGAGAAAAAATAATATACAAAAGAAAAAAAGAAAACAGGAAAAGAAAGTCCTCAGACGTCTCTTATGTGTGCCAATATCGATTTTTTACATACACATATATACCAACCATAAATCCTAATAAGTACGTAATTAAGATGGTTGAACCCATAATAGAAATTTCTTTTCTGTCTCTCTCTCTCTCTCTCTCTCTCTCTCTCTCTCTCTCTTTCTCACGATGTCCCAATAATAGATTATTACTCTGTTTTCATGTAAATTTTCATGGGAATGAATAAGAGATGACGATTGTTTCTATGGTCGATGATACCGTAACCTTAACGGTTTCGAAGACTAGGACACTAAGACGGATGTTTGATTTTGGCAAATAGGCTTTCTAAATTTGCCATACTCGAAGATGATATATACTTCCGCCAACCATGACACGTTTTCTATTCGCCAATGTTAACTTATAATTTATAATACACGTCTGTTATTAATAATTCTCCTGATTATATTTCTTTACAATTTATTTAATAATAATTATCTAATAATGTATATATATATATTTTTTTTTATATAAAATAATAATAACACTCCAAAATAAAATAATACTCCAGGTAATTTATATAATATATTATATAAATATTTATATAAAATATATTTATATATAAAATAAAATATAATGCACATAATATTAAATATATATATATAATAAATTAAATATTAATATAATATAATATAATATAATATAATATATTTTTCTTATAATATATTAATATTTATTATTTAATTTATTAAAAATAAAAAAAAAAAGAGAAAAAAAAATAAAGCATCCCTTAGCATATAGAAATATCGATAAACATTATAATAATAATAATAAAATTAAAACATTGAATTTGTTATTAATTTTAATGATTTATTTTCAATAGACGTTAGTAAATAAATTTCATTATCCCTTCTCCATCATCTACCCTTCGACCACGTCTATAAGGGTAAGTTCTAAAAGCACAAGAGTAACACGTGCCTTCTCGAGGGTTAATTTGGCTTATCGTAGTGTAGTTTGGATTTCGTGCGTTTACAAAAGCGTCGGACCAAGCTAACGATATCCCGACTTTACCACACTATACTATACTATACTATATCATACTATACTATAGCATACTATACTATACTATACTATATACTACAGTAGTAGTAATAGAAGCCGCGAGCATTAATTAAGATTCTCTCTCGTTTGAAAGGAATCAAACAAAGGGTACTGCTCAATTTTGGGGAGCTAACGACTTATACTTATTTAAAAGGGGTGAGATTATTAATTAATTGACTTACGACCATTTAACACTTAAAATATCAAACCAATCAAATCGAACGATTTTATATTATTGACTTTGTATTTTCTTTTTTTTTTTTTTTTTTTTTTACGAATAAAATAAATGGAAAATATAACAGTCAGTAAAAAAATTGTCTTTCTTATAAACCTATATTTTTTTTGCGTTTAGGTGAAAAACAACATTTGTATAAAAAAAAAAATGTTGAATAATAATTCAATAAAAAAAATATATATATAATCAAATAACTATTAAATAATATATTTAAATAACTTATTAAAAAAAAAAATATATATATATATAATATACTTCCCAACGAGATACGGGTAGTTTTATGAAACTTTTGTAATTTTCGTGAAATACGGAGATAAAAAAAATTAGGAAAGATTAAAAAAAGAAAAAATGAAAAAGAAAAAAAGTAAAAACTTACCGTTTCTGAGGCGACGCTTTTCACCTTGGAGAGTAGAAACGCAGCTGGTGATAGATAAGACTTGACAAAGTTCTCCAGGTTTCCATGATAAGCGCATACTAAAATGTCACGGGCCTGTCTTATCAAAAGATTGATAACACCATCGCCATAAATTGGTCCAAGTAGATTCCTTACTAAGGAGGCGACATCACCGCGAGCCTGGAACAGAGAACCCCTTTCATTCTTCTTACGTTATCACTATAAACGCAAGCAAATTAATTAAACTTATGATATCTAACGTTAAGCATATATCAACATTCGAAGACACTGAGAAACGTTGTATATTTTCTTTCTTTACATATGTAATTTTATTTATCTTCTTATCCTTTTCTCTTTTATAATCTTAACCAACGTCATTGGCTATCTAAACGTATATGTATGTAACATAAACTGACCTCGTTATGGTCATAACAAGCAAATGTTACTTTAATAGAATTTTATTGAAATTAAAAAAAGACAGATAGATAAGAAACGAGAGAAGAAGAAGAAGAAGAAGAAGAAGAAGAAAAAAAAAGAAACAATTAATATAAAACTCCCAAAGGAATACAAATCTTTTCTTATTATATCATGTTATATTTAGACTATGCTATGACAAATTTATTATACTGAAATATTATTAATGTAATTATTATATTATTGTTTCATTATTAAATAACAAATTTGCAATTCTACTTGAAATTAAATGGCTTATTTGTATCTATAAATATATAGAATTTATATATATTTATATATTATAGAAATCTTAAATGTATAAACATATATACATATATATATAATAAAATATAAATAATAAATATATATATATATATATATATATATATATATATATGATTAATCGGGGCTATCGTTATTTTCTATATTTTAACATAAATTATTGCTTGACACATATAAATAAAAAAATTCGATCAATATCTAATCCCGACGAATTTTTTTTTGTTCTTTTTATAATATATAAGAAATCGAAGAAGATGGATTACGAAGGACAAGTGCGGTGATGGTCGAACATGTGGGTGCATTGTATTCTGTGTGCGGCATCGTTGCAACGATGTGCATAAACATCGCGGTTTACTGGGGCACTCACGAGGAAGAGGAATACCACGATGTAACCATTATACGTTCACCAAGTCGACGTCCGCCCACGTACGTGTTTCCGCCCTCATCTTACTTGTAGACACACGTATTTATACATATGTACGTGTATTACATATATATATATATATAATTTTTTTTTGCATATAACTATTCGAGAATAATTTAACTTATCTTATTTGTTACATTTATAATCAAATTTTATTCGAAAAATATTATTTCAAACAATTTTATTAGAATATTTATAATTTTTTATTCAATTATTTAATTCTATGTAATGTCATATATCGTGTATAATACATACACACGTGTTCCTTACATTCCTGTATATAATACAAAATTAAAAATATTTATATATATATATATATATATATATATAGATAAAATTATTATAATTATATATAATTATAATAAATATTTAAGTATATAATTTTAATTATAATTTTGAACATATAATAATAATTATAATAAATTATTCTAATTATATATAATTATATAATTTTGACATTGGTATATATAATTTTAACATTGTTTTTTTCTTTTCTATATGAATTTTTTGCTATTAATAGAGAGAAAGAGAGAGAGAAGAAAAAACAACAACTTGAAACTTTTTTTATATGATTAAATTAAAAAATTTCAATTTCATCACGTAAACTTATTCGTCATTAATACCGTTAATATTATAATATATATTTTTCTTCTTTAAGGAGAATAAAAAATTCAAATTAAAAATCATTTCTAAGTCTGTTACGTTAGCATTAACAGGTTAAATTTCTCTTAAACGAGTTCCCCTATTTTCTGTGATATATTATACTCGTGTGAACTTTGAAAACCAAATGAGATTCTATTTATCATAGGAAGAAGGTGTATATTGCGGACGAATGTGAGTTGCGTCCCACGATGCACCGACATCGGTCATAAAATTGCAACTCTCGGTGTCCGTCGGTAACAATATTTGTTTAGTTAGAATTTATGAGTGAAAGGGTGAGCAGAGAAGAAACATGAAAGGCTCATGTGGGGTCTCCCGCATCCCTTTGGAATATTCTCGATAGGGGATGAACTAGAGGTAGATAGGGTAGTGATGGTAGCGGAGGGAAAGAGGAGGGTGGAAGAGGAGTGGTAGGGTATAGGGGTCGTTTTGTACTCCGAACATAAATTAACTGCGATTCACATGCCACTGATTTTAATCGTCTACGTTATTCAGCTATGTTGTTTTATTAATGTTATTTACACACATGAAAGATCATAGTACGATTTATCATCGTATATTTATAATTTATAATATAGCTTATAACATAACATAATTTATATGGTTATATTGTAAGTAAATATATTTATTCTCCCCCTTTATTTTTATTTATACTTATTATTATTTATTATTATTATATTACACTATATATTTATTACTATAATTATTATTATTATTATTAATATTAATATTATTATTATTATTATTATTATTATTATTATTATTATTATTATTATTATTATTATTGTCGTTTAATATTATATATTACTCTGTCGATTATTTATTATTAATATTATTCAATTATACTTTAATCTGGTCACATCGATTAAGTCAATTATTATAAATTGTTTTAATAAAAATAAATTTTGAATGTTAAACGAAATAATGATTTGTAAGAAAAAGAAAAAAAAACAAATACACACACACATATATATATATATATATAAATTTTTGTAAATTAAAGATAAAATAAAATGAAACGTAAAAGAAATCTATCTCGTCTATATCTCTTTAAAACTTTTTTTATGAACCTGATTCGACATGCCGGCAACCCTACGGAATTGTAATAAAACGAGCACGCCAGGGTATCTCTTGATTAGCTTCTTTGTTTTCGTCATTCGCTTTGTCTAACCTCATCCCTCTTTTTAATTCCAATGCTTTTTTATAAACCATGTTAATTTACATTTTTAACGAAAATATGACCGCACCTGAATGTATTTTCTCGTGATTTTCTCGCAATCTACATTCCCCCGAAATATCCACAAATTTGATTTCTTCGTATGTCATAATCGATTTTTCAATGAATTTAAAAAAAGAATATTAAAATTAATAATCGTTTGTTTTGCAAATGAAACGTAATTCAAATTTTATAAATATAATAAAACATTATCGTATACGACGTTACAAATTTTATATTTTTTTATAAAATTTATATTAAATTGCTCGTATATAATATTTTTAATGTATAAAATTTATCATATTACAATTTATTATACAGATATATATATATAATTTTTATAATATCATATACAATATTAAATGGTATATATATATATATATATATATATATATATATATTATGTATATATAATATTAAGTACAAATATTATTATAGATACTTTATAAATAAACAAATAGAATGTAATTTTATATCACATATAAAAAAACGAAAAAGAAAAAAAAAACCACGCACGACTTTTTACATTGACTTATAAATTATTACAAAAAAGATACGCGTAATCAAGAATAACTTTATAAATCCTTCCTCTTCCTTTACGATTCATTCATATAATAATAATAAAAAAAAAAAAAAAAAAAAAAAAAAATAATCAAAGAAAAAAAGAAAGAATAAGAATTATATTCATTCGGATTAAATATATAAATTTTCAAGGAGTCGAATCGAGAGAAGAAAGAGAAAAAAAAGAAAAACGAAGAGGAAAAAAAAAAACAAAAAGAAAAAGAAAGAAACTCGAGAAAGCTACAAGTTGATCTCTTTTCCCTCTTCGTTCTCTTTATCTATCCCGATATATTTACCGATCTCTTCTTCCGAGTTTCTATATCGATTTAAAACACTCGACGACCCCTTCTCATCTGGCTACGCTTCTCGAATTTCAAACCAACCTCGCAGCTCCTCTAATTTGCATCACGGACACATTTATTCAGCTAGGAACTTCGATTATTCACCCCTTATGGTATCCAATGGTTACCGAGCGTACCTTTCCGAGAGAAAAAGAGAAAGAGAAAGAGAGAGAGAGAGAGAGAAAGAGAGAGAGAGAGAGAGAGAGAAAGAGAGAAAGAGTACTTACGAGGGATGTCACCGTGCAAATATTTTCAATTCTCATCGATCAATCGAAATAGAAAACGAAATCGAAAATGGTAATATAATGAATGATGACGCACGAGTACTACTCGTTGTTAAATCTACAATGAATCTTTCCTTTTTTTTTTGTTTTCTTTTTTTTTCATTTTGTCCTCCAAATTCTTATTCGTAAGTCAAACAAACTCGTTAGGGGACTATAATGACTTTAATGGGAGAGAAAAGAAAAAGTAATTATATACACACACATGCACACACACACAGACATATATATATATATATATATACATACACACAGACATATATATATATATATACCTAACTCTCTAGACTAAATTCAAACAATACGAACATCCTGTCGATCGAGACGAACATTTTATCGAAACGATTCAATCGAAATATTCTTGGAACGTCGATAGATATCAAATGATTCTCTGCCTTCCTTTTTACGCACTTTGAACACCCTACGGGATTGAAACAACAACGCGGAAAAAAAAGGAAACGAAAAAGAAAAAAAAAGAAAAAAGAAAAAAAAAACGAAACAGACGAAAAAGAAAAATAGAAAAGAAAAAAGAAAAAAAACATTGCAAGAGATAATTCTCGGCTGAACGAACAAAACGAACGCGATATCTTTGTATGTAAAACGTTCGACTGAATATTTCAACAATACGATTTTTATCTATGGATCTTCCTAACTGTTTCTAATGACGCTGCTAGTGTGTTTTTGTAAAAGAGAAGAGAAAAAAAAAATAAATCACAAATAATTACCAAAGACATTCTTAAGAATATTTGAGATTCGTCATTATTTTCTTTTTTCGTTTTTCTTCTTTTTTTTTTTTTTTCATTCCAATCATTCTCATAACGGCAATAATCGACAATACACGATTTAATAATTATTATTAGAGATATCGATAGTTTTATGGACAATTTTTACGTCGAATAATAAAAATCTTTCGAAATCGAACGACCTTTTAATATTTTCCTGCCCATTCAAGATCAAATAAT